ATAGAAATAAATTATTATATTTATGAAAATACACGTGGGGACGGGCGAGAGGGCGGGTAGAGGTGGGAGAGAGGGAGGAGGAAGCCCTCGAGCGTGGACGGGCCTCATCGGCCGATTCATCCGCGACTCCGACTTTTGTCCCTCTCGTGATCTTCGACGTGGATCGTCCGCACCACGCCTATACGGGTCGGATCGGAAAGAAGAGAGAGAGAGAGAAAAAAGAGATAAAAAAAAGACAGATGGAGTGATATGATAATTCACGCGACGCTCGTGCGTCGCGATACCTTACGACGTACCGAATGATTTACAAGCGGCACTACGAGCGTGGGCGAATTTGATTGGGAAGCGCGGGTTTCGTTTTTCCTCCGTCGCGCCTGACGCGAATCAACCCGAGAGACATTTAGCGGAATTAGAATCCGGAATCGCGCGGCGGAATTCTCTTCCGCGAAATTGCGCGCGGAATCGTCCGCCGAGATTTCTCACGCCGATTCGTCAGTCGTCCCGCGAACGCGAACTCTCCCGCAAAGTTCGGCTGAAGTTTTGATGACGCGGCGTATCTCTTCACGTCCGCGTCCCCTCGACGAAGGAAGGAGAGTGCGGACGTGTCACTGTCTTTCCGCCGTCGCGGCAGCTCGGAAACGTTTCTTTCGCGGTTTCGTGACACGTGTCTGAAGAACAAGGCGCGACTAACGCGCCGCTTTTTCCGGTCGATTCTTCACGGAGGAAATCCGAGACGGACGACGTTGGCACGTCGCGGTGTCTCTTTCCCTTTCTTCTTTCTTCCTTCCGTGTATCCTCTCGTCTCTCTGCGTTACACGGAAAGCGCGGAGAGCCGCCAGATTAAAGGGAACGGTGCGATAATTCCCTCTCGGATTTCTCCGTCACTTCACGCCCTTCCGAGTTTCAACTTTCGAGAGATATCTCATTAAGATCTCACGCCCCACACGCACTATGATTACTCCTGACAGATAAATTTTCCTTTGTGCCACGGAGGCGCAGAGGAGTCCGCTCGTCAGGATTGCGTCTCAGCGGAACACGAGGAGACGAGACTCGTCCACGTGCCATGCTCGTACTCGAGTCGATCGTACGCATTCTCGACGTGTTACGGAGCTTGAATGGCGAGCACCGGGTGGTGCCTACCTACGAGCCTACCTGACGTCTTTGTCAGTTGGCAAGTGGACACAATAGACGTGTCATCGTTAGAGTCGAGCGACATTAACTTAATCTTCCTTCGAGGCTTACGAAATTTCCGCGAACGTTCTTTCGTTTCTAGTTCAGCATGCGTCAATAAAAGCGCGATTAAACGGCTAATTTTGCAACGATCGACGGCGTCGCTTATCTTTTCGATTGATACCGCGGTTCCCTGATCTTCGTCGAGTTCGGGAAAACGTTTCCAGCATATAACGGACCCCTCCCAGATCGTGGCGCAGTGCCGCATCGACGCCTCCTGCATCTGTACAGGTGAACGCGTCGGTGTGCGCGCGCGGCGCGTCGGTGGGCGAGCGCACACCATCAGCGCCGAGGGAGATGAGATACATCACGGGACGGGAGACGTATTATTAATGGTGACAGTGGGCGACCCAGGTTGGGCGGGGTACGCGCGCGCGATGCGCGGTCCCACCGAGATGTGGGCCTCGCTCCGGCCCCTCTTTTTCCTCTTTCTCGCTTCATCTCGACCCTCCTCGCCTCTCCTACATCACGCCATTGCACACGTAATATCGCCTATGCGACGCATCATGATTTTCTATATACACATTTTATTTCGCATTTCCTCTGAATTTCGACTTTGGAGAACGGCTGGTCGCGCTCTCCTCGAGGCGAGGATGTTGGTGATCGCTCAAGCGCGAGTGCTTGATGCCAAAAAGCAAACCAACTTGAAAAATATTGTGTCAATTTGAGGATTTATTGGTAATTCGTATGTACATAATTAAAGCTGACGAAACAGACTGGAGGATTAATCGGGCGCTAACTAACTCCGAACTCCGAGGTTCTGATCGGTCGGTCGGTTATATTCTAAATGCCGCGTGCGAGAAGTTTCTCGCTCGATTCTGAAAATGTCACGTGCCAGTCCGCGCGCGAGCGTCTATATACCGTCCGCGACCATAACGAAATTCCCGAAGTGTCTGCTGGGCGCACACACTCGGGAATGAGAGAGGGAAAGAGAGTGAAAGAGAAAAACAGCGAGAGGTTTAATCGCGGATCGCTGGCCAAGTGAATTACCGGCTGGCGCGTGCGTAAATCACCGCGGAATCGTTAATTAGGCGGTAGAACGAACGAGCTTTCTGGAAAATGTCAACGACTGGGATGTCGCGGCGAAACGGGACGCGCGCGCGTAATTCTTGCGCGACGACGCGGAGACTCTCGATTGGGACCTTTCGACACGCGCGATTTCGCTCGCTGGCTGCAAGTCTCGCAATTTGTCCCGATGCCCGACTAGCTAATTTATAATCTCTCCGCTAAGATGGAACTGCGTGAGCCGATAGAAATCGCGAAATGGAAAGCCTATTAGCATCGAACATTCTTATACAAAATATTCACGTTCGCAATATATACACGGCGGACGGAGCGCAATTTAGTACAGAGACTGAATACCGAGACGATTTCGTCACCAATTGTATACCGGTTATCACGTACGCCTTTATTTTTATAAGTTTACGACGTCTTTAATAATAATCTTCAATAATACCGGCATATAACTGAAATTTTTATAATAATATATCATTTTTCGATAATACTTTAGTGTCTATTTAAGAGAGGCACGCGTTCCCCGCTCGTTGCTCGTTTACACGCGCGGAGCACGGGGGGCACCCGCGAGGATCACGCTGAACAAACTGACAATTCGATCCAGACGTCCTCCCCGGCGACGCACCTAATTCGACGGCGCGGCGCGCACAGCCCGCTTTTGCTCGAAACATCGAAATTAATGAAGTCGTCCGACCGGGCCGCGGCCTAAGCGCAGTAAATTAGAGGTACACGCCAACCATTAGAATACTTAACGAGGACATCACGGTGGGACGCAGCGTGCGCGGGTGTGATGATGAATCACCGCCAGGGATAACTCGCCGCTCGCGCGCGCGCCCAGGAATATTAAATTAAGTGTACTTATTGTTAGCCGAAAACCTTATTCGTATCCCCTTTGCCGGGTATAGTCCCTCTCCGGGCTCCTCTTTCTTTCTTTTTTTTCGGGCTAAGAGGTTGAAGAGTCGGCTGGCCGGAACCCGAGAGAAACGAGAAGTCGCTATAGGCGGGAGAACATTGTCGGGCGACAAAAGCGTTCTCCTCTTTCGCGAGAATCCTTTCTTTCCTTTCCTTTCTCTCTTTCTCTCTCTCTCCTCCCGCTTTTCTTCGCCACAGAAGCATCCTCGAGAGTACTGAAAGCACTGTCGCGACTGTTTATTATCCATAGGGCGGAAAGGGTTCGCCACGACGAAGTGCGATTTCGACAACGATCGATTTGCGCTTTTGTTTTTTTCTCTCTTACTTTCCGGCCCTCCCTCTCGCGCGGACTCCTCTGGGTCAACGTTTCTCTCTTTCTTTCTCTTTCTCTTCTCCGGAGATGAAATATACAAAATGAAATATGAAATAATGGTTCGTGCCTTGTGGCTGGCTGAAGGCACGGGCGCACCCATATCTACGCCCCCATGCGCCTATGTACCTTTACAAGACTGTACGCATAACTATATATGTGTGTGTGCGTATATATATATACATATATTATACATTTATACATAAATATATACGTATTTATTTATGTATACATATTTCTATATATTTATATACGAAATTTGTGCCATAGCTCTGCGTAATACGTAATATGCGCGACGCGCACGTCGTATACGCGATATCCGATATCTCGCGCTTAATTTTTTCGTCTTGTCGCGAACATCTTACGTTTGCATTAACCCTTATGCCTCGTTTAATGATATTCCGGCCTACCATGTTGGCATATTGAACGCAACTAAGGCAGATTCCAGGCTTGGTCGTCGGACCAAGACCCCGCCGCCGCCGACCAAGCCCACCTGTAAATACGTATATCCGTACGTGTATATACGCCGTGTATGTGCGACGGGAGGAGAGATCATTTCTGTGCTCGTTTTGCATTACGTATATCGGGGCAACGAGGAAGAGAGAGAAATAAAATAAAATCTCTCTCTCTCTCTCTCTCTCTCTCTCTCTCTTGTAAGTCGAATTAAGCGCGTCGTTAGCCAAAGGGATCGGCCGACGATTTCATCGAGATTCGGGATATCGAGATGTATACATCGTGGCCTCGCCCCATTATTGTCGAGGAGGTAATTTATCAGGGGTATTTATACGAACACACGAGATTTTGCACATGTAATCGCTATATTAAAGCAGCGTAACTTGGCGCTGATAACGTCTATGATTTAAAAAAAAAAAGATCGTCCAATGAATTTATCTTCTAAGCAGACGATGGAACTTGATTCGTTTTGACTCGTTTTCCAAGCGTATTTCAATCCATCAAAGGTTCAATTTGAGGCATAACAATTTTTTTCAATGCTTGCGACAAACACATGCCCTAATCTGACACTGAGATATCTCTAAATAGCGAATTTAAAAGATATTTCAAGCTTACATTTTTAACTAAAAACCATTTCACAAAAAAATTATTATTATTATTGTTATATTAATTTTTATTTAACATTAACGCATTTGTCAATTCCAGCATTGCCAATCTGTAAAAATTATCAAAATGTCTTTCAATAGCTTATGCAAAGGTAATTTAGTATACCCAAGAATTGCGACGATATAAATATCCGCACATTCTTTGACATTTCATTATATTACATCCTACATTGTATTATATCTTTTGTATTTTGACTGTTTATGCGGCACAGGGAGTTCCGGAACGACGGTAAGGCTAATTCTGTACATACCGTGTGTCGCTTAATCATTTTACGTGCGCTCCGCTCTCGGTTTCTCTTTTTTTTCCTGTCTCACGTTCTTTACTTGACGGCTTGCTTTGTTCGGGCTTCTCGCAGGAAAGAAATGGCGAGGGCTGACGCCGCAAGACAGAAGGCCCTACGTCGAGGAGGCCGAGAGGCTCCGGGTCATACACATGCAGGAACACCCGAATTACAAGTACAGGCCGCGGCGCAGGAAGCACGCGAAACGGACACCCGGTGCACCGTCCTCGCCTCCCTCGGCGACCAACACCGCGGGCAACAGGTCCAACCCTGCCGGCCCGCCGATTCATCATTCCATGTAAGTCGATACTCCGGCCCGTACTTTCCGCGCTAATGAAGGTACGTGCGAGCTAACCGCCGCGGTTAATTGAGAGATTCCGGCGAGATTTAAACGCCGACGACGGCGTTATGATTTCGACGATGTTAACATTGTAGCCGAGATTTAGCAATGACGTATTTGTCCTGATAAGGAATATATATATACCGCATGCGATTATAAAGCGACGCATCATAAGTGTTGTATGCGTTTAAGGTCCAAGATGGACAGTTACCATCAGGGCATGTCTCAAATCCCGTGGGGTGGCCATTCTCCGATCTCATCCCTGTATCATCAACAGCAACAGCAGAGTATCCAGGAGTACAAATCGGAAAATAATTCGATCTACGGCAGTCCTTACACGCCCATCATCCACAGCCCGGACATATCTCCGGTGGCCAGTCCCGAGCCCGATGGTGAATTTTTAAAATCGAAAATTGATCGGATAATTGAATAAATTTTATTTATTTGAGATTCATATCTTACAGACAAGCTTAAGATAAAAGTGTTTCTGAACTAATGATACAACCGAGGAGATTTTTTTGTGAAAAAATAAAAGAAAAATTTTAGACTTTGTTTGAAAAACGACACGATGCAATTAGAATTACGAAACAATTAAAGTAAATATGAAACAATTATTGAGATGATTTAATATTAATGTACTAATCTAGGTGACGGCGGTCATTTATCGTCCGCTCAAAATCAGGATCCAGAACGAGATCTGATGGAAGGTACCTCGAAGCAACACGGAGACATGAGCGATCAGAAACGATACACCTTTATGAGTAGCGACAATCAGCTGCACACGGGTCACGTTAGTAACACTAGCATATCATCGTGTCAGAATTCTGGCGGTTACACGGATACTTTAACGTATAAAAAATCCGTACGTATTCCGCACACCTGATATTTTTATACTACGTTACGGTTGCAATCTTCTATAAACTATCGTTTGTCGAAATACAAAAAATAATATAAAAATATATTTAATTACTTTGCCATAATTTGATGGAGAGAATTAAATTCATTCTTCTTTCATAAATAAATTTAAATCTAGTTTGTGATTTCTCCACGTCACGCCGAATTATTCCGTGTCAGACCAGATCGAGCAACCCTCTCAGGCAATTATTACGTTTCTCGTCACTCAGGTGGGCTATTTGAACTTCGAGAGACAATCCACGAGCATAGCCGCGGTGGGCATAGCGAACGGTATGATGGTGTCGTGCAATAAGCTACGCTCCGGTTTCGACAACGTCGGTTCCGTCACGGGCACGTTTTATCCGCCGGTCGCCTCGCCGCACGATCAATCGTTGCAGCACTACAGCGGCACGCAGACGTCCAAGAGCACGACCAACTATTCGATGCAGTCTACCGTCGAGAGCAATTACAATCCGGTCCAATGCGCGGGCAGTCGACAGCAGCCCATAGGAATCCGCGGGGCCGCCGAAAGTTGTCCCGGTAACGTTTTGCTCTCGTTCACGCACGTTAAATTCAAAGGCTCGTAGAACTCGACTAGGAATAGAAGAATCTTGATACATACAGGATCAAGGAACGCAATAGCTAGTATTATCCTTTATTACAGGAAAGATATATAAGCAAGAGAAATAATTTGAAAATAATTAGTCTTACGTTTTCTAAATAAAATCGTTTTTTCGAGATATGAGATAGTATCAAAGAGATACTAGGATAGGATCTTTCTGAATGTCTATTCACAGTGAATGTCAAAGAATTACAGTAGAATTTTCAATAACGGTGCAATTTATTCTCTTTTTTTTTATTACGTCCTCGTTCAATTTCTAATTTCTTGACGCAGTGACACATCGATACCAAATGTCGCATCATCAGGAGTACCAGACAGACGCGTCCTCCGGCAGCGGCCAGCACGCGATTCTCGGCGGTCACATCGATCACGGTATGAGCGCCGAGGACGATCAGCAGCAAACGCTCCAGCTGGAAAAATATTTCAAGTATTCCCATCCGAGCGTAGGACACTCGAGCCTGTCCTCGCAGAGTATGTTGGATAGCAACCATAACTACGCCAGTGATCTGCGCTACTACGGGACACCGCCGCAATCTCAGCTGGACATGTCGAATTCTCAGTGCATCGTCGACGATCAGCAGGGCAACAAAGACGCTCGTTGTCCTAACGTCGCGATCGGTCATACCATGGAACAATATCACCCGGGATTGGAGGTGTCCAAGTACACGGATCACTCAGTGACGCAGCAACACCAGCAGTCGCAGCCACAACAGCAGCAGAGTATGGAACACGTGCCCAAGGCTGACGACGATTTCAGTGTTATACTTGCGGACGTGCGCAAGACTTGCTACAGTAGTTAGTGTTTCTCCTTCTAGTGCACAGACCGATCCACAGGTTTCGGATTGGACTGACGTGCGAATTTCAGGGACTCTTCTTTCGTTCACGCGGTCGCGAAGAACAGAACGCTTATGTGCACATTTGACGTCATCACGTGGCTGGTGCTACTCGATATATATCAAAGCATTTTTATCTCGTGATAAAAGGGTACGTCCTTCTCGTTAACTTCGGAAACAATATTTCAGCTCCAAGTTTTCACACGAGCAAAAGATATTATTTGCCACTCGATTCGTTCAATTTCCAGCACGGAAAATATTTAATTACAATTTTTATCTTTCGGAACTCTATCTATGAGTATCCCCTGTGTATAAGCACGATCTCTTATGGATTTCAGTACAACTGAAATTGCATTCATGCGAGTCAGTGGCGTACAATTGTCGCCTGTCAACAAGTTGCGGTAAACGAAATTCCGATAAAAATATGACGAATATAATTATACGATACAAACAATGATAAACTGCCTGATATGATCAAGAATGTCATCGTATTTTATTACAATGAATATCATTTTATTGGAATTTTTCACAAGATATTAAATTTCCTGGATTTCTATCTTATCTACAATCTTATATGAACACTTTAGGACCTCAGAAAACGTAATGATAGGCGGCTAATGGTGCACGGCTAGTGTAGCATTAAAATTGCAGAGAGAATTGTATACTCACATAGATGTCACATTAGTTTCATTATCAAAGGTAATACAGTAGCAGAGATATGATAACGATAGCGAGAGATATTAAATTTACGTTATTAGAAATGTTTTAGAAAACTTTCACATGTCAAGAAATGTTTTGCATCAGTAAGTTTTCTCGTATTTACTCTGAGATAGCAGCATTTACTTTTGGTGCTATGTCACTGTGAGCTTTATTCAAAAGCTTGTTTTTAATCGTTGCAAACGATGATTTACATAAACCAATGTATGTTTTTGTTGTAAATAAATTTTCTTTTTCTTGCTCATCAGAGTGACATTTCTAGCAACTTGTGCAAACTGCGCATTAAGTTTTGTAGAAATGCGAGTGGTGCAACATGTCTTCGATGTGTATAGAGATGTGTAAAGAATTCTGGATAAAACTAAATTATTATTATTTTGCTATTATTATATTACCTGTTAATTAACATTATTAGATATTAATATTATTAATGTATCGTACTTAATAGAATCAATTATGAACAAATATTTATCTGCATATATTCTTCAAAGGATATCCTTCCACAAGAAATATGTTCTTAATGCATTTCGTGTGGTGCATATCGTTTATTTTATATATATGTAACGCACACATGCGTATGGTAGGTACACACTATATATGTATGAGACACACATACATATATATAAATTATATTGTAAAATATTATGTGTTATCCATATATACTCACATTCTTCATTCAAAATAAATTTCTCATTGAGAAATTTGGTATACGATAAAATTATACAACTTTCCGAAAAAAGTTGATGTCTCCCGCGAAATGACATATCACGCAAATATATTTTTAATCACGCATGTGTATTAAAAAACGATCTTTCAGGATTACCGCTCCACGTCATTAAAATTAAAACACACACATGTATGTATATTAATTCTTTTTATTAAATATATATAAAAAATATGTGTATAAGATACAACATTATGTGTAAAGCTGAAATCATACATAGTGTAGTGATACCCATAAATTACATCAAAGGGGGTTGATACAATGGTTAAATATTGACAAATATTTCTCATTTTCCATTATACAATTATATGACACCTTCTTGCGTCAGAAGGTCTCAGATAGCTATAGGTAAAGTCTTTTACCAAATAAATATAATATATTTATTAAACAACAGGCACGTGAAGAAAACAAGTATTAAATAAATTATTATAAATATTTCATAATATCTCTTCTATAATAGGATATTTATAAATATCCCTCTCTCGTCATCTAGAAATTGTTATTGCACATATCGCCCTTTCTAATATCCGTCGCAAAGCCATTTATTGTAACTAAAATGATCGATGCTAAAGTCGGTACCAAAGTAAGACTTCGAAATTAATCTCCAAGTCTCTCTGCTGAATCTATATACATATTTCTATATAAATAGTGTATTATTTACGAATTTATTCTGTCACATTTTATGTATTAATCCCCATTGATTTACACGTAAATGTAATCGAGTTGTGCGACGATTATGATTTGCTTTACCGTTACAGTATGTATAAACAAGGCTGACATCGCTCGGTACAATTTATATTAATCGTTCACAGCAGAACCGGGATTTTTACTGAGACAGAAGATTTAAAAAAAATTGAGAGTAAATATATTTAAAATATAACTTCAAGAGTAAAAATATAAGATTTTCTGTCGACTTGTGCGTGTTAGGAAAAAAATCAAGGCGGTAAGTGATTTTGTCATATTTTAGTTGTGAGTGAAAAGGAACATTGCTCCTGTCGCAGAATTTATATACGTGCTTTAAATATTGTACTTAATAATTAAGAAAAATCTTGAGATCGATTAGCAGTAAATTTAATCATTAGAATAATTTTAGTTGCTCAATCCCGGCTCTGTTCTGCATCGTGAATGCCTCGATTTATCACTATTTCTGCGTTCGTAGCAATCGACTGCTAAAAGGACACGACAATAGGTAGCGAGGTCTATTTAGGGAATCGCGCCAAGTACATTCTCCTCGGCACCATTAACACGCTGCATTGTACATCTTCTATTCGGTTCCTGACTAAAAACGACAAATATTGCTAGATGTTTATCGTAATTGTTTCGTGAACGTCGGATTACAAGCGTAAGTATACGTATGTATTCCCTTCGAACGATCTCTCTCATACTGTAAATACAATTGTATATGTGAGGGATTTTAGAGAGCAATGGCTTAACCATTATATACGTTAAATGGACAGATTTTGCAGTCTTATTCACAATGATCCGCTAGGTATACCCTCTCATTGAAACGTGCAAAGACATTCGTTATAAATTGCGGATACTTAATGTATCAATATAAATTGATATCTAATAATCTTATAAAGTCTCGCACGGTACTGCAAATCTTACATAAACTGTACAATTTTCTGCTATTAACACGAATTTATATGTACATGAATTTATAGATCATCGATATCTATTGTTATATTTGTGTCTTTGCCTATATGTGTCTGCATTATGTACAAATTACAACATATAATGTATACACATACAATGTGTATAAATGGCAGCTTTACAAATCACGTATAAAACTCTCTACGTACATTGTTACGTAATACACAATTAGCTTGACGTTTTTGTTGGAGAAATAAAATAGAACATTTATGTGTTTTGAATGGATTATTTGTAACATATAGTCAGTACGAAAAAGTATTAGATATAATAGGTAATACAAAAATTATCGGGTATACTGGAATGATTTCACTTGTAAATGTAAATAATATAACGACTGGGAATGTTAGATAAATTTAATGGAAGTAAAAGTATCTCTCTGCGAATAGTATTCCTGGAACACATGCAATTGCTGATCACAGCGAACAATGTTCTATCTGTATACGGACAGTTTTGCGTTTCTTTAAATTTTTTTTATGGCAGAAAATTGAATTCTACAAAAGTAGAATTAACAACAATATTTGTAATAAAATATGTCAAAACATTGTATTACAAATCTTGGAATGTACGGAAATAAAATGCTGATGTAAATTAGACGTAAAAGAAGTTACAAATGTTACAAATATCCATTCAGTAAAATCTACATAATTACGTATAGTGATATTAGTGAATTTCCGTAGACGAGAATTAAATAAAAATTCTTTGTTCATCACTTAACATAAACCCTTTTAAAATGTAACCCACTTATCGTTATAAAATTTTTTAAAGACCTTTAAAGACCTCCCCAGCATAAATCTAATATACAATCTTGCAAAAATATTCTTGCTCGATTTGCTTTGGCTTTAATCACGATATAATCTAGAGTAAAATATATAAAACAAAAAAATTTTACATTTAAATCAATTCATGAAAGAGAATTGTTAATAAATAAATGTTTAGTTCATATTTACTAAAAAAGCATTAAATTATCTTTTATATGTATATATACATAAATTCAAATTAATAAAAAAGTATTAAAAGTTTCAGTTTGTCCTTTTTTTTGAGAATTCTGATTCACATTTTAACTACTTAGAGTAATTAAAACAATTTTTCTGAGATATTTAATTTGTTTCTAGCTTCATTTCTTTCTATTGCACAGCAACGTGCTTATAGTCAAAATTTTAATCTATAATGTCCTTATATGTCATTCATCCCATAAACAGTTCTGTTTCATTTTAGAATAATATGAGAATATAAAACACTTCTTACAGGTTTTTATGCCACATCGATAGCTGCTTGCTACCTTCTTGCCATCTGACTTTCCTTTGCAAAACTTCAGACCACACGGATACCAGCCGATGCATAATTCGAGGGAGCACGTGCAAGGTGCCCAGAGGTTTGATGTGTCAGCACATTTAGAGACCAGCAGTGACCTTGTATCATTCATGCCCGATTGCGGCACATTTGTAAAGTTATACACAGCTGCCATGAGTAACTCTTCCGAGGAACCTAGAAATGTCATAAAAATTGATATCTACACATAATATTACTACACATATGTACGAGACACTGATCGCCCCGCATTTTATTACGGATAAGTACCTGGTCTTTGAATCCACTGTTTTATATCGTCATTTCTAGTGTAAGTCGATCCAGCTGCTTCCGCGCAGAGCGTAGTAACGTGCTTCGAGATTTCCTTGGACTGAGAAACGTCCAGAAACAAGTCCATCGTATAATTGACATGACCCCTATCCTCCTCCGCTACGCGCACGGTACCCGGATTCTTCTGGCGTAGCTTGGACATCGCGTCGGACGATATAAAATCTACTTTGTAAAAATGATTCACGAAACACATGACTTGATACTGATTTTGCCCGCGTTCTTCCTCGCCGAGTACCAGAGCTTTTATAACTTGAACTTCCTGTAAAAACCACAATTGTTTGTAGTTAATAAAGCACAAAGATCCTTCTCTTCTTTCTCGCGAGTTCTTTAAAATGTAAAAATAATTACATTTTTAAAATCGATGAGTTGTGTAACCAGGGTGCCATCGGAACGTTGGAATTCGAGAGTAATCAGATCTTCCGTAACGTTAGACGAGATTGTTTCTAGAAGAATATCACCGCCCTGCAAGTAAAAACAAATTTCTCATTAGTAATATTAATAATAGGAAAAATTATCTTCAAGCTCTACTTATTCGCTAATAATATTCAACATTTGCGTTAAATTACGTTTGAGGTTATAACTCAGGAAATGTCTTTATAATCTTTTTTTTTATAATTTCGTACAAATTATGAATTATGAATATAAAAGTGGAGCTGCTGAATGGAAAGCGTAAGAGACATTCACTCACCTGATTTTTTACGTTTATGAGCAAGTGTGTAGTGCATACATCGTAAAAACACTGCAACACGACGCAGATCGCGAGAAACTCGTTGAGCATCCTCATTGTCGCATTGTTAAATCACTGTCGACGCTCGGCTCGCCTCCTCGTCCGGGCCGACGGCGACGAGCCGGAAAATTCGCGTAGAAAAGAAAACGGAGATTACTCCATCGAGTATTATAACCTAATGCGTCAAGCGCTGCTCCGCTCCTTTTTTTCCCCTCCCGCCCCCCCTCTCTCTCTCTCTCTCTCTCCCTTCGACGGCCTACATTTCTGCCAGTATGGCCAATTCTACGTTGAAAGAAAAATTCACTGGTCACCTTTTAAAAAAAATTGACACGAAATTCAAATCTCGCTTAGCGAAGTAGTTGAACGCTGATGCTTAGATTACAGACGGCAAACGATTTATCTGAGCGCACAGGAAGCAGGAATTCGAGATTTCAAATCGCGAAAATCAAGACAATCTCGAAAATTAATAAAGTATAGGAGAATGGGCAAGGAGGGGTTGCAATTTAAAATTCTAAAAATTTTCCAAGCTTTTAAGAATCGCGAGTTCGGAATCTTAAATCATAAAAATCAAAAGTTTTGCAAATCGACAATAAAGTATACTTGATATATAAATATCCTTGATGTAGAGAAAGAAGAAAATGGATAAAATATGAAATCCGCGAGCACTTGCGAAAAATAAAAAATAAAAAACGTACAGTAAAATGTGTATATATATCTTTGTTCATGCTGATATTTAAGTTTACAATTAAGTTCGTCGTTTATTCTTATTAATCTTTATAATACTGTTTCGAGCGCTGCACGAAGCGGATACTCCATCGTCCTCGCTTAATCGCGCGGTCGACGATATTTCCCTCGAGGATTTGCTGATTACGGTGCCTTCTCTGAAAGTAAAGCGTGATAATTAAATGACGAACAAACGTACGCGCAGAGGTAAACTCCATGACTCATGACTCACGAAAATTGCAGTAAAGCCGATAAAATCGACGGTGCCTCCGGCAGCCGCACAGGCTTCAGGTCATATACCTTTAAATGGGCATAAACGGGAATCTGCAAATAGAGAATATATAATTATTATCGATGATAGTTGTCGACAGTCGACGGCAAAACTACCAAAAACACTGGGATAATAACTAGAATGTTTCGTTGAATTTTTGTAGCAAATGCATGCCGTTGAATCTTACGTGCAGCAGAGATGTATCCAGGATGGTTGACGGTATGCAACTTGTTGGTAAATCGAGAAGTTGATAATGGCAACCAAGTATCGGGGATTGCAGTTTCTTACCGTGAACTAAATCAAATTCATCGAGCTCCTCTTTCGATTCTGAATGACTTGCGAAGGAATTAGCATCTTGAATCTCCGCTTCTTCTTCCCCGTTCGAAATATCTACAATAGCGATACTTATAAAATACTCGCAAAGTGACACGTATGACAATGACTAAAATTTTCGAAGGTGAAGTCGTTGGCTTACCAAAATGTGCCATAATACAAATCACTGTTCTACCAAAATGTTAAAAATTGTACGTTTAGTACTTCCAACAGCTATAATAGTTTACACGACCTGCGAGACCTGCCTGAACTTGCGACATGAGACCCAATTGTTTGGTCGATAATGCTCTTCCCAACTACACTAAAGTATGCCGAATTTATTATATTATACGTAAAAATAAAGAATTTGAGAATTTTTAATAACATTCCGCAAGATCGAATTATTTGAAATTAGATCGAAATATTTTTTTATTTCTTAGGAATCTTAATTATATATTTTCTTTTGTGGAGATGTTATCGTCATGTTATAAAATTTATCATATCAAAAATATTGAGCTATTAAAAAACGCGAAAAGATGATAGTGTTATTTCATGCAAATATCTTTTTATTTGAAAATGGCACGCAAGAATTCTCAGCGTGTCAATTCTCAACTTTTCTCGTTTTTGACGTCATCAAACAAAAGATTATAATAGAAGCGACAAGTACCCAGCCAGAAGCCTTAATTTGCTATCAATAACATGGTAATGAATATTACATATTTACAATTGAACAAAAGTTTTTATGATATATCTTAATTTCTATCGAAAAATTTAATTGTAGCTCTTTCTATATTGCGTACTTAAAATAAAAATAAGGATTATCGATACTTTTCATATATGTTAGGGAAGCTGGTGATAAATGATAACTTGCAAAACAGGTTATATCTCATAAAACTGAAAAGACTTTATTATATCAATATCAATTAAAGATCCAACAACTTTGTTAGATTTAATCATAACGTTTATATATTTATTAAGATGAAAATACAGAAATGTTTCTTTTCTTTTTTAAAGATGCGACCGACGTATCTGCGTATAGCTTCGAAGCAACAGCGGTATTCTTTCGGCGCGGTGGTTAACAGTTAACGTGATACACCGAATACGTCTATGTCGTCTATGCTATTTATATATCTCATAGATTGCCTTTACGTATCTTCTTAAGATGATCTGATGAAGTTGCGATGATAGGAGACATCAGTGTAGACATCAGGCACACCCTGAGCGCAAGGCAGAACCCAGGAAGTAATACCGATCTGTACACCGTTGCTGATGAGCGGACCACCGCTGTCACCCTGGAAATGCAGACAATTTTCATTAAGTTTTCGTTTAACTATAATATTATCAAGTCTTTTCTAACTGATTGATCAATCGTACGTCTCTTTCAGGGATCCTATATTCCCACATATTCAACGATGTGTGTTACTTACCTGGCAAGCACCAATTCCAAAACGATTGAGCGTGCACAAGTGGCTGCCGGTCAAGGGCATACCACGGTGATATTGCTGACATTGGTTCTGCGAGACCACGGCTTGGTTCATCTTGAGGAGACTGCGCGCGAGCGATCCACCCGTACTGGTTCTACCCCATCCGGATAGGGTTGCTGTTTGTCCAGCGGAAGGCTTGTAGGTAGTCAGATCGATCGCAGATTGGTATTGGTCGTATTGAATCGGCGATCTGAGCTGAAATGAACGAATGACGGAACAGATGACTGATACAGGCAATTTTAAATAAAAGGAGCAAAAAAAGACGTTAAAAGTAATTAGAAAAAAAATTATAAGCTGGCGTTTTTGAAATTGCAGAGGCAAATCACAGTGGCGGAACTATCCGAACGTCGACCTACCGTGATCACCGCAACGTCATTCCTCCAAGCGTCTTCCCTTCTGCCGGAATATTGCGGATGTACGGCAACTTTCGACACAGTATGGAGCTTTCCTCCATTGATTTGGATGGTGCCGGTGGCAATTCTCAAGTTGTTGTAGGGCGGATATACGATCCCGTCCACGCAATGTGCAGCAGTCAGGATCTTGGTCGGGGCGATGATGGAACCGCCGCAAATGTGATTGCCATTGACCCTCAGGGAAGCTTGGTGTGGGAATTCGCCTGGTGCGGCAGGCGTACCGCCGACGATCTGTTCGGGATCGTCAGCGAACGTCTCTGCAAATCGATGATATATATGCTAACAATAAATATGCATTTCTTGCGGAACGAACGACGGTATATGATGAGAATATTTTGTCATTGTACAATATCGTATTTTACTTACGTTGCGCCAGAACGCCGACCACCAAGAAAATAAAAGGTAGCATGATCGATAATTATCTCAGGTCAAAAATGAAACTGAGAGTAAGGACAATAATTTCTACTCTCTTTTTATAGCGCATTCATATCTGCAACCCGATCTCGGCGAACAGCTGGTCACATTTTTTACAGTAAATAAACGCGATGACACACCCCGCATTTCAATGAGAAAAATACGACAAAATCAAATATTGCACACTTAGTTACGCGGTATCAGTTAAATGGAGAAGAACGATAAAACGTGCAAATAATGAAACATGAGGCGTATCTCTTCATTATTACTGTAGAGCTGATCGCGTTTATCCAAGCGAAACGTAAGATATCGAAAAGCAAATAGAAAATTTTATCGTTTGACATTCAAGTTAATTAAATAGAAATTATTATTGGTACAGTCTAACATTTTTTATTTTATACTAGAAACTATATTTCTATGATTATGAGAAAATTAGAGATTACTTATTTCTACTGTCTAATATATTATACAGAAATGTAAATCGCATCATTTTTTAATACGTTAAATGCAAAAGGAACTCAAGATAATATAGAGAATAAAATTGTATACTTTCAACATGTACTAAATATATAATCTATCTTACAATGTTGCAAATATTGAACAATAAGAATACGATTTAATTTGTATCTCACTCTTAGAATTGATTTCTTTAAATGTGCACAAGAAATACATTTGTAATATATCTCTAATACATAGAATGGTTTTACAACTCGTATTCAGCTATTATTTTTCAAGACATCCAGAGAATATTAAATTAAGATGCTCTGAAGAGAGAGAGATGATATCCGTTTTGAATGTTCTTTGGATTTTCAAACTATCTGGGTATTGCAATTGTACGTTGCAGTTTATCGCATTAAAAATATTAAGATAAAGAAATGCAAAAAGCAAATAACACACACAATTTAAGGTAAAGACGAAACTCTTAATTAAACATTTTGTGTTATCTTTATTATCAATATCTGCTGATGATTTGTTAAGCTGTGTATGTATCATACACATGTAATATGTATGTAATTTTGGAATCAGCGAAACACAAGTTATGATATCATTATTAATAAACCATTAATATTCAATCTGTTATCAATATCGATCATGACGATAAATATTACAAAAATTAGCATTGGGCAAAAATTTGTTGCAATGTCTTAATTTCTTAATTTCTACAGACGAGTTAAATTACAGCTTTCTAATATTGTCTGTTTATGAAAAGAAAATTATGAATTATTTTTTTACTATATTAAGGAAGTGGAATTTGGAGATGGATAATAAATCTGCATACAGTTATATTTGTCACACATTAATTATAACGTTTATTTATTTATTTATATATTATAAATATAGAATTATTTATTTTCTTTTACAGAAGCGGTCGATGTATCATTAACGTATATAAGCTGCGACATCGTAAATATATTCTTCCGGCACATTGACATGGTACGTTGAATAGATCTATGTCGTTTATGTCTCATAGATTGCCTTTACGTATCTTCTGAAGCATATACGATGAAGTTGAGATGGTAATAGACATCGGTGTAGACATCAGGATAACTCACGGCGCAAGAAGCAACCCAGGAAGTAACACCGATCTGTACGCCGTTACTGATGAGCGGACCACCGCTGTCACCCTGGAAATTCAGACAGACGTTTGCGTTAACTTCTCGTTTAACTACCGAGTCTCTTAAACAACTGATGGATTAATCATCTCTATCAGGGATAGATACTATTCCCACATATTCAACGATGTATGTTACTTACCGAGCAAGCGCCAATTCCGTAGCGATTGAGCGTACACAAGTGACTGCCGGTCAAAGGCATATTATAGTGGCTCTTCTGGCACTGGCTCTTCGAGACCACGAACTGGTTCATCTTGAGAAGATTGCGCGGATACGGTCCTTCCGCGCTGATCCGACCCCATCCGGATAAGGTACATTTCTGTCCGGGGGTAGGCTTAGAGGTGGTCAGAGCGATTGGAGATTGATATTTGTTGTATTCAATCGGCGATTCGAGCTGAAACGAACGAAACAGATGATTTAAACAAAAGGAGTAAAAATGGAGGGACGAGATGGACTGCAATGTTAGAAAAAAAAATAGAAAGAAATTATAAAGCTGGCGCTTTCGAAATTGCAGACGCAAATTGCAGTGACGAACTATCCGGATAACTTCGATCGACTTACTGTGATCACCGCGATGTCATTTTTCCAAGCATCTTCCTTTCTGTCGGAATATTGCGGATGTACGGCAATGGTTTTCACGGTGTGGAGTTCTCCTCCCGTGCTATCGATGCTGCCAGTCGCGACCTTGAAATTGTGGTAGGGTGGATACACAGTCTCCACGCAATGAGCGGCAGTCAGGATCTTCGTCGGGGCGATGATGGAGCCGCCGCAAACGTGTCCAACGCCGTCCAACCTCAGGGAAACTTGATGCGGGAACTCGCCTGGTACGGCGAGCTGACCGCCGACGATCGCTTCGGGTTTATCAGCGAACGTCTCTGCAAATCAATAACAATATATATGCTTATAATAAATATTCATTTCTTACAGAACGAACGATAGTATGTATAACTGATGACCGCGGCGACGAGCAAGATATTCATCGAAGGCGAAAAATAACAAGAGATTATTTTGTCATTATACTATATTATACTTTTATACATACGCTGCGCGAGAACGCCGACTACTAAGAAAATAAATGGTAGCATGATTGATAATTAACTCAGGCTAGATCAAAAATGAAACTGGGAGTGAAGACAATCATTTCTATTCCCTTTTTATAGCGGATTGATATCATTCATATTATCTACTATAGGCTAACGTACAATTGGTCGCATTTATTATGGTGAATGTGATAACGTATGTGTTCCGCATTTTGATGAGGCAGATAATGGCAAAATCAAAGATTACAGTCTTAATTACGTTGCGGCTTTATTGTGATTTAAATGAAGAAGAACGATAAAATACACGTCATAATGACCAAACATACGAAACGTATCTTTTCATTATTTGTTATCTATTATTGCGGGACTCACTCATCCGAATAAAACGTGTAGATATCGAAAGCTAACGGACGATATTGAAAAGCTAACGAAAAAGTTTGACGTTCATTCAATTTAACAAATTAGTAATACAATGCACAGTTGAATGATTAATTAAATAGACAATTAAATGTCTAGAAAAGAAGAGATAATTCTTTTACCATGAAAAAGCACAAATCCAAACATATGCTTCGAGTTAATTTGTTCTTCGAAAAAATAAATATCACGGTTTCTATATTTCTACTTTGCATGTTTCTCGTGTCAAATTGTTTTTAAAATTCTCTTATGCAAAATAATTTATGGTAAAAAACTACAAATTGCGATAAAGTGAAAAAATTATTCGCAGTTTAGCTAACAATTGCAACATATATGCTTGAATGAACAATTGGATAAATAAAATTCGAGACATGAAAATCTCATTAAAAAAGAGAAAAAGACATCTCGCTAAAAAAAAAAACAATATTTTTTCCCTTGATTATCATTAAATAAACGAGTTCTTGAAATTAAGTAATTACCTTTCGATACATCTCACTTAGCAAACTTATATAAAACCACGGCTGTGTAAATATAAATATCTTTATTTTCGAAGAATCTGAAAGTATCGAAACAATAAGAAATAAATACTTCGCGAAATGAAAAAAAATACGCGATGACTTTTCTAAACATAACATCAACGTATAACCTATCACATTACTATTAATATTATAAGGGTTGAAGGCGTTAACGCTCCTAACCTAAAAGGAGCAAATCCGAAAAAAATATTATAAATGAATATAATTCTTATTCACCGCTTCTCGTACGCCCGGTTCATCATATCCTTGATCGATATACGGCAATGCATCAACAATCACTTCTCCTGCCATAATGTATTAAAATAAAAATGCGTAAAATTAGTCTCTGTCTCTGTGTTAATTCCTTGAAAGCAACTGTCTTCTTCTTCTTCTTTCTTTATTTTGACTCCTGCCTTTTTTCAGAGGACAATACTGCGAAAGCTAAAGCGGGGAACACAGGCTTTTGTATAACGCATAATACGTACGCATAAGAAAACTGATTGGTCTATTTCCTTATGCACATGTGTATGGACCAATCAATTTTTTTTATGCTTACGCATTATGCGTTGTGCAGAAGTGTGCTCCCCGTTTAACAGACGTAAGCAATAAAAGTTGATCAACTACAATCGATTATTCTTGGATTGTAAAAATCTCATGGATTGTAAAAATCTTAAACAATTAAAACATTTTAAATTTTTAATAAAACACTTTATTTTATTCCCTTTACTAATTTAACAAATTAACTAATAAACTAAATACATCTCACTTTTATAAACAAACGTATGATCTTAATATGTTCTATATTACGCTGCTAGTCAACGAGAAAACAATAGCGACAAGTGCCGTCGGGTCGGGCACCGTTTAGCGGAAAGATTATACTATAGCTCTCTAAAGTGACGAACGACAAGAATCTCGAGAAATACGAACGTTTATTTTAACATTGTTATGTGTCCGTTAATGCAAATCATGCTCTCTCAAACGAGATTTGACAATAAAGAGTTTTAAAATACTGTTGCATACGTTTTACATTTCAGCTTATGCGAAACTTTCCGCCGCATTTTGCGTTTGCATAAATTATTCAAAAGAACATAATTAATAATTAAAAAATAGCAAGAATTTAATTATGCATCAGTAGAGACGTTAGAAGACAATAAAAGTTAATAGAAGAATTAATTCGGATGATAAAGTAGGCGAAACTCAGGTTTCGCACCGCGAAATCTTGGAAATTTACTTCTGATATATCAGGGAAGCATGTTGTGCAAGGAGGTTGTCCGGTTGCAGTAGGTATTCCGAGCGCGGGTGTTTTGTCACTTCACATTGGCTAATACCTCCTCGTAATTACGCTGCTATTGGTCAGAGCGCGGGAGCCTACTGCCCCTCCTATGCACACCTGCCAGCGCTCTGATTGGCCGTAGGCTGGGCATCCTCGTCGCGCGCCCGGCGCGCCGTTTCAATGGCGATGGGTAATAGTGGGGGTAGG